GTAAACCTGTATTGTTCACTCAACTGCGCATAATAGCAGCGAATTAATAAAAAAACACAATATTGCCCCACGTTCTGTTTTCTATCATGTGCTGTGCACGTTTGCGATGACGTAATATGCACGCAAACGCACCAAGGTTCGATAGAATCAAGTTGAGTGTGAAACCAGACGCTGCGGGGGGCACCGGGAACAAACGCGCTCGGGCTCGGACCGCAGCAAATGAGCCCAGTGTAAAAGCCCCCTAAGTCACATCTTCACTTAACAGTGTGGATTAAGCTTAACTGGCACTAGTTTAAAGAATAATTCTTTGTAGTTTTTGCCTTTTATTATGATAGGACAGTATGGGATAAAAAAATCATCCACCAGCCAAGACTTGAACTCAGGTTGCTCAAAGTCCTACAGTGCTAAATGTCAGTGCACTGACCACTTGGCTATCAGGGCCAATTAATCAACATTAGTCTGATAAATATTAATACCTCATTGTGTAAGAAACATGGGGGGAACAGAATCCGACGGCAAACAAACCAGCTGTCGGAATCCGTTCTCCCACTCCCATTATGAGAGGTGTTGATGTAGTGGCTTAAAAAAGGCTGATTCTATTTTGTGTGTGGATGGAGCTTAACTGGCATCAGTTTAAAGAATAATTCTGTTGAGTTTTTGCCTTTTATTATGATAGAACAGAATGGGATAAAAAAAAAAAAAAAAACCTCAAGCCAGGAATTGAACTCGGGTCACTCAAAGTCCCACAGTGCTAAATGTCAGTGCTCTGACCACTTGGCTATCGGGGATAGGACAGTATGGGATAAAAAAACATCCACCAGCCAGGACTTGAACTCAGGTTGCTCAAAGTCCTACAGTGCTAAGTGTCAGTGCACTGACCACTTGGCTATCAGGGCCAATTAATCAACATCAGTCTGATAAATATTAATACCTCATTGTGTAAGAAACATGGGGGGAACAGTTTCCGACGGCATACAAACCAGCTGTCGGAATCCGTTCTCCCACTCCCAATATGAGAGATGTTGATGTAGTGACTTAAAAAAAAAGGCTGATTCTATTTTTCTCCACCTCATTAGACGTCCAAAGAGGAGGTGCTGGACATCATTTGACTGCAGTAAGTACCACTTGAATTTTCCGCCTATCCATGTTTTTACTGTTATACGATGTAGGGGGCGCTACTACGCATCTTCTAGTACAGAATCTCTGGATCAAAACATAGATGAATAAGAAGCAGAAACAAGTTATAGCAGATTGCTTATGCAAATGTCAACAAAGTGATCATCAAACATTAAACGGCATATAAGTTAAAAACTGCTTAATTTTACATAATGAAATGTCGAACCCACGAAAGGGGAAATGATTGTGAAGCTTTGAGGGTGTTGATGGACTCATTCTACTCCATCAATGCTTTGATCATCATTCTGAATCCGTATTCAATTGTTGATAAAAAAAGGATGCATGAAGCTAGAATAAAATGTTTTTTTTTTTTTTTAAATGGAGATAAAGTCCAGTTAAATGTATATTTCAAGTATAAAAAATAATTCCTAAATAGGAACATGACTTTCACTTTGTTTTGAATGGGCCACGTGTGTTCCCCTGTCTGTGTTTCCCGCCACACTCTGTTACCTTGGACACTGATTACCTCCCTCACAGCTGCCTGTCATTTGCACTCATCATCTCTGTGTATTTAGTTCCTGCCTGTCTTCAGTTTAGTGTCCGGTATTGTTTGTGTTCGACACGCTGTCTCACCTGTTCCCATGTATCCTGAGTCTCTACAATTAAAGAAAGTGTTTACTACATTCTTCATCTGTCTTCTCTGAACCAACCCGTGACAAACATAGTATAGCCTACTTTAAGTGCTAAACTAATATATAAACAGTAAACTATAAGTATTATGTTATGTTCACTTAAAGCTGCAGTCCGGCGTTTTTCCTCTTTGTCGCCATCTCTGTTCGAAATCTGCAATTGCAGTCATTCGCGGAATTATCAACTTTACGTGAGTTGTAGTTCAACACCCTCGACACGGCACAGCGCGGATGAACACAATGTTTGAGGAGACTGTGAGGCTGTCAGTCACTGCGCCGGTGTGGATAATGGCATTCAGAATCACAGGTCATAGGCTACTTCCAAAAAGAATAATCTGTAAATCACAGATTATTCTTTTTGGAAGTAGCCTATGACCAACATAAGAATTTTCACCGGAAAATGTCATCTGAACTAGTAAGAAACATCCACCTTTGTTCTGGTTCTGACATTGCAGTAAATCGCACTGATTAAATCTAACAATCGCTTATAAGTTATCATATCACGCAAAACCGTGCAAATTATACTTTGTTCTCAAATTGTTAATGTTAACAACATAAGCAAGCATTGCTTGACTACATGTAATGTCCTTCCGATATGTATCCTTGTTTTCGCATGGGCCGGTTGCAGTCTCTTCTTTCTGTAGTCACTCCGAAGTCCAAACGAAGTCTTTTGCATTTTACAGCGGGTGAATCTCTAGTTGTCAGTGGTGATTGTCGTTTGAACCTTTCTGGATCCGCCATCAAATTGATAAGTTTAATTATATCAAGTGCAGTGAGAAAAGGCTATAAATCTCCACCTCCAGCATCCTCACACGCAACATAGCCTAGTAGCCGAAACTCCTTTATGTGTACACACGTGACGTAATGACGCAAAGACATGCTCGAATCTCCCGCGGAAATCCACCAGTACCACTGGAATTAAAAACATTATTACAAGCTTACCACTTTGAATCGAGCTACGGCAAGCAGATAGTGTTGAACACTGGCTGGTTATGTATTTTCTCAAATATGTATTTTGGATCATTTTTAACCCAAAAAAAGCTACGCACTGCAGCTTTAAAGAAAACTTACAAGTATACTTGCAGTATAAAACTACTAAACTATTCGTTTACTGAGTATGCTTCAAAGTGTACTATCATAACCAAAAAATGGACTGCAAGTATTAAAATAATAAACTACAAGTATACTTATAAGTTCACTTGTAGTAAGTAGATGCAGTACAAATGAGAAACATAAACTAGTTGTGCACTTAAAGTTTACTAATGTTAAACTTATAGTACACTTAAATGTATACTTATACTAAAAAGTGTGCCAATTTAGTCCAAAGCAGTATTGAAATGGTACACTTACAAGTATACTACTAGAACATTGATATACTTACTAGTTACTACATAAAGTATACTTAAAAATATACTTGATTATACTTATATAAATATATTAAATACACTTTACTGATGTATACTTCATAAAATGAACTTGAAGAATAATTATTTTGTAAGGGGATCCCATTCATAGAATATATAAACCATTAGACTCTCCCAATTGTAATATATGAAATATATGAGACATGTGAGACTCAAATCAGTCAGACATCACTTTTTAATGTGAAGTAGACCTAATCTTTCAGACTTGAATACAAACGTTGCAAAAGATAAATAGGACAATTCTGAATCTATTCTCACTAACTGAAATTCCAGTTTATTGCAGCGAGACTACATTTTTTAAACACCTTAGTTCTATAACATCCAAGGTAGAGATGGCATAGTGCATAACAGAGCAGATATTTATATATGTACACACAGATACTTCACATAGTTCATTCTGACAAGGCTTCAACATCCAGTATAGTAAATGCATTCCTTTTTCTTTTTTTTTTTCTATCATTAATCCACTGAGATGAATGCATATCAGTTACACTGTTAAGCCTCGCAATTTCATATGTTTGCCCACTTAATTTGTCTGGTGGAAAACGATTATATCCTCATCTATCAAAAAGGAAAACATTAAAAATAAAGAGCAGTGTAGTAAATGTCATCAATCAGACAGACACATCAATATACTTATATCAAGTATTACCTGAAACATTCTGGATGATCATGTTTCACGCAAAACAATGTGCTTAATAAGTATCGCCTAAAATTCATACAGGCAACATCCTCCAACACTATGGATATAGATATTATTTTTGAAGGTGTTTATAGTTGCAGTACCATTGACAACATGCCAGTGGTCACAATTAAAGATTACTCATTCAATACAATGTCAAATCAAAACAAAAACAGAGAACTTTTAACCTCATAACAGTACATACTGTATATATTAGTCAATGCAGCAAGCTCACAATCTCACAAATAACAGCACTGGATACAGTTCATGGGAAAAAAAATAACGTCTCGCAAGGGATTCAGTTCAAATACAGGTTGATTAGAGTCAGTTGCTCTCTTATAATGAACAGGTCAGTACAGTATGTATCATGTGATTAGTACAGAGCAGATCATCAGATGTTGATTGCACAGTTATCATATCAAAGCATCCCTACAGATATTATATACATTGTCTCTATGCTGTCCATCATGTTGGTTTATGTTTGGACATGTAATATAATCCAGGATTGGATTTTTAAAAAATCTGGAATCTTATTCAGTTTATATGCCAGTTCATAAAAAACATTTGTCAAAATTAGTGACCAATTGTGCCCTATAAAGCATTTGATAAATGTGGAAAAGTAAACATATAAAGTCAAAATAATACTGCAACAGACATCAATGCCTTGTTTACTGGTGCAAAAAACGACAAAATTGCTTTTGAGTGCTTTTAGTGCACAAAACAAAACTACTATCACCATATTGTTTAGAGACAAACTGCACTGAAAATCATGTTTTAATAGGATACCAGCACTAGATGATGATGGTTTATTTTCAGCCTGCCCACGACCACCATGCAGATCCAATTCTGGTTTATGAAAGGAGGAGGGTTGCACACACTTAATTTGGCTGTCAGACATTGGCTGTGACATCAGAGCTAAGAGACCTGCTCTTGAACAGGATGCACTTTAGTGGGAAAGCTACAACATAAAATGGTGCTCTGTAAAAAAAACAGTTGCCAAAACCAAAAACATTATAAAGCTGTAAGAAGCATCTGGAATGGAATTGTTTTTGCATAATTTCTTGTTCAATGATTTTTGTTTGATCCATACTTGGTGGCCGGCTATCATGCAAATGGATTTCCAAATGGGTCTCTGAAAGGATCTAAGCCCACTGCCTTTAAGGGAGGAGCACTCTGTAAAGGTAAAGAAGAAAATAAATGTAAATATTCTTGAGGTTCTCAGGAAAAAAACTCTGTTTGTTGTATGATAACATTTTTCATAAGGATGCACATATACGTACAGTTGCAGGTACAGACGTGCCAAACAGATCTTTTCCAAAGGAGTTGTCGAATGGGTTCTGACCTCCAATCTTCAATGGCTCTGCAGTGACAAAAATTATTTGTCATGCCAAGATGTTTCCAATTAAACTTTTTTTTCAGCTGAAACCCTTTGACTAAAAATATTTAGTTGAAGTAAAATTTAAAAATTAATATTTTAATAATTTAACAACACATTTGCATGTTGTGGCTGTTGGCAAATAATCACATTACATAGGTAAACAAATAAAATATTTCATTTTTTTGTGTTTTTTTATTTTTAGTAAAGGTACTTATTTACAGTATATCTATTTACATCTTTTTAATTGTAATAGTGTCACAGTCCACATCATGTTCACACTGTATTTTAGGAACTCAATCAATTTGCATATAATAATAATCATTGTTTTCACATTATTATTTTTGACTGTAATAATAAAAAATTAAAGTCATAAATATATTACTATTGTAATAATGCAGTTGCACTGAAAAATAAAAAAATTGTATTTGATAATTAGAATAATAATTATATTTTACACTACAAGTTACAGTACTAATATTTATTTTCTTAATTTTTCACTTTCAAACATTTTTCACTTTCACACACTTTCAACAGTCCTGTCATACGCTGCGTTCCCAAATGCACGTTATAAGCGACTCAAACTCACAGCAGATGCAGAGATGGTGTTAAGGAATCGTTAAAATGGGTTCGATTTTAATTACAAATACAGCCATATCTGCTTACCTTTCCTTGCTGGCACGTTTGGTGGCTTAGCTATCTGGAAATCCTTAAACATCTCCTTGACATCTCTCTTCTCCTTTTCTCCTAGAGGATCCAGGTCCACAAAAGCATTACTGTCCACCTTTGGAGCTTCTTTGGTGGCTACTGCCCGAGGTGGAACCAGTGGAGGGGGACTGGAGCTCTGTGGTCCATCGGCCACAAGGCTGGGTGGAAATACGCTGGTCTGAAAGGGGTTCCCCAGGGTTGTATGATGGGTCCAGGATCCATTGGATCCATTGGAGACTGAAGGAGTGTTCCATGATGGAAGCTGTTGGGTTGCGGTCGAGGTTCCAAAACCTCCAGGAGTAGTTCCCCAGGCAGGCCCAGGAGAAGTGGAGAAAACAGGTACTTGAGTGAAGGGCTGAGAGGCACTGATGGTGCTGGGGAAGATGGACGAGAGGGGCTGATTCCACGGAGCCGCTCCAGGAGTGGAAACTGCAGGTGGAGCTTGTAGAGACAACCCTTCTTTAGAGAAGATATAGAGTTGATAAAAAGAAGGTTGAATATTAAAAAGCTGAACTTATTCAGTTATATTCTACAATAATTACACAATAATTAAACAGACCATGCGATTCTTTGGACACAAAGAGCTATTTTAAACATTTAAATTTGTAATTACTGTGATAAACAGAATAGTAATCACCATAACAGCCGTCCCTTTTGTGAATATTATTCTACTGTACAATATCCCTCAAAGGTTTGAAAGAATTTAATACCTTTAAGAATGCATTAAATTGTGCCAGTAAATACATTTATAATGTTACTAAAGATTTTTATTTCAAATAAATGCTGTTCTTTTGAACTTTAAAAGAATCAAAGAATCCTGAAAAAAACGTTACGGTTTACACAAAAATACTAAGCATTATAACTGTTTTAAACATTGATAATAAGAAGAAAGGATCATGTGTCACTGAAGAATGTTGCTGAATGAGTAATCGCTGCTGAAAATTAACCTTAAACTTTCTTAGCACTTGCCATGTGACCTGCACTGCATTTCAAGATACACATTTTATCAGTTCACCCATTGCCTGGAAATCAAACCCATGCCCTACGGCATTGCTAGCAGCGTGCTCTACTGTTTGAGCTACAGGAATATATAAATAAAAGAACAATTATTCTAGACTTAAACTTTCATTTGAATAAGAATCACAGACATTTTGAAAAAGTATTTTATTGGAAACTCACAAATGTGACCCTGGATCACAAAACCAATCACAAGTAGCACGGGTATATTTGCAGCAATAGCCAACAATATTGTATGGGTCAAAAATATATAAATTATATATTTTATAAATATGTAAATATAAATATTACATTTATAAATATAAAAAAAAAAAAAAAATTATGCCAAAAAATCATTAGGATATTAGGTAAAGATCATGTTTGATGAAGATATTTTGTAAATTTCATACCGTAAATGTATAAAACATTTATTTTTGTGAGTGAATGCAGCACAATCGTGAACATAAATGGACAACTTTAAAGGTGATTTTCTCAATGTTTCGATTTTTTTGCATCCCCATATTCCAGATTTTCAAATAGTTGTATCTCGGCCAAATATTATCCTATCATAACAAACAATACATCAATGGAAAGCTTATTTATTCAGCTTTCGGATTATGTATAAATCTCAATTGCACAAAATTGTGACTGGTTTTGTGGTCCAGGGTCACAAATGTCCAGTTATTTATTTATTGTCTCGAGTGTCTTACCAAGAACTGTGAGTGCGTCAGTGGAGGAAGGGCTCCTGCTGAACAGACTGACAGAGTTGAGAGGGCAGTTTTCGGTTTGAGGAGGTGGTGATTCTGATTGATTTGGTGAAACAAATAGATCCATCTCAAGTTTTTCATTTGAAGGGGACTATAAAAGAGAATAAAAAATGATCATAAAACAGATTCCAACCAGGTTATTTAAAAGTAAAAAAGACAACAACAAAAAAACCCCAGAACAGGCTTAAACAAGCTTAATTGTAATGTAAAGACCTTAGAACATCTTACACTACAGTTTGGGGTCTGTAACAGTTTTATTTGTATGTTTCTTTTTAAAGAAATTAATACTTTTATTCAGCAAGGACACATTAAATTGATCAAAAGTGACAGTTAAGACATTTAAAATGTTACAAAGATTTATAATTCAAATAAATGCTGTTCTTAGAACATTCTATTCATCAAAGAATTCTAGGGGAAAAAATTATTATTTTTCCACAAAAATATTTTTATTATCAATGTTGAAAAAGTTGTGTGCTTGATAAGAAATGTTTCTTGAGCACTAAATCAGCATATTAGAATGATTTCTGTCATGTGACACTGAAGACTGGAGTAATGATGCTGAAAATTTCAACTTTGCCATCAGAGGAATAAATGACATTTTTAAATATATGAAAATAGAAAACAGTCATTTTAAATTGCAATAATGTTTCTAAATAGTACTGTTTTTTTTACTGTATTTTGATCAAATAAATGCAGCTGTGATGAACATAAGAGACTTTTTACATATGTATATATATTTATATAGTCATAATGTGATGGGAAAGACATTAGCAAATCAATCCTTACCTTACAAGTACAAGTCACTGAAGCATTAAAAATTGAGGTAAACAACATTACCACATCATGAAGTGGTGTTAGATATAAATAAGAAAGCAGTAAAAAGAAAAGTAGAATGTGAAAGAGGCCATCTAATTATCAAAATATAGTCATTAATGCAACCTCACCTTTACACTCCTCCTGCCCCTCCCGGCTTTCATATTGAGTGGTGGAGGGCTTATAATAACCGAATCCTTGGTTTGATTGACAGGTAGCTCACCCATGCCTCCATTCTCATGCTTCACTCCATTCTGCACTGGCTGCATCTTCTCCGAATCTACGACAAACGGATTAGGAGTCACTTTCCCATGTCCGTTCTGCTCTTGAACTGGGACAGTATTCTGAGTCCGGCTAGTGGCTTCTGCAGCTCTGCCATCTAAAGGCCAGTGGCCATTACTGAGAGCCTGGATGACTGTCCTGTTGGAGAGTTGGTCGAACTGCTGGCCCAAGTAGTCTGAGTCACCATTCTTAGGGCCACCATTGAACAAGTTATTAGTGCTGTGGTTTTCTGTGGCAGGGTAGTCCCTGATTGATTGGTCGTCGCTTGAAAATGGGTCATCACTGAACGGGTCATGGATAGGGGCGGGGAAGAAGTTGAGCTGAGAAGAGAAGGGGTTCTCAGGCGAGAGGCTGGACGGGGCTCTGTGGATAGAAGATGAGGTGAAGGGGTTTCCTTTAACACAGTTCTGATTGCTGTCTATCTCAGTGGACAGATCCATCAACAGGATGTTCTCAGACTCCTGAAGGACGATTTGGAGGATTGGGAGAGAAACAGAAACAGAAAGAGAAGAATAAATAAATAATAAGCTGATGTCATTAATACATGAATGCTTATTTAAGTGGTGTATAGATTAAGTCATGCATGAAGTACAATAAACTTGTTCCATATAAATGCTGTGTAGTCTAACCAATCAGAAATGCAAGCATGTGCGTTCATGACATAAGTGTGGGGCTGCCAACCGTCTCGTAAAAAACAGGATTGTTCTGTCTTTAAGGGAAGCGTCTTGTACCAACACCGTTAAGAACAATATATTTTTTTTTTTGCATTTGAATCAATTTTACACAATTGTTTGGGTTTCAAGATTTGAAGAGGAAAAAAAGTCTCAACAAGGCTGCATTTATTTAATCAAAATACAGTAAAAACAAAAATATTGCGAAATAACAATTACAACAGATTTTTCAATAGCCATTACTCCAGTCTTCTACTCCAGATCTTTCAGAAATCACTCTAATATGCTGATTTGATGCTCAGTTGTGCAGTTGTGCAGATTAATATTTAGTATATCAAGTTTTTGAATTGAAATTTCAAAAGAACAGAATTTGGAACAGGAAAAGAACAGGGCGGTCTGGTGGGTGTGTTGACCTGTTCTGTTGCTTGTTCTTCTCTTTATCAGACAGCTCATCTGTTTTGTAACTGTTGTAATACCTTGTATATGTCTGCAGAAAATGTAATAGAAACTACAGAGCAGAGTAGAAAACAAATTAGAAAAAGTGAAATCTTAGGACAATCGATTTCTGTCAATTTTTGGTGCATTTCATTGGTGCATTGGTGTCCCTTATACTCTACTAAAGTTGGCAACCCTACTTAAGTGTTTTTCCCCCAATATACCATGCCTTTGACAACAAAACACTGGTTGAATAATGGATGGCTAAAAATGAATGAATAAACTTCACAGTATATGCACACATTACCTGAACTTGTTCTCTCACAGTCAATGCAATGTTTAGTTAGAAGAACAGAACAAACTCTGCATCAACACCACTTGTAAAAAGTCAACCATGAAAGTAAACAGATAAACCATAAGACAACCACAAAAGTAAAATATTTAACAATTTCAAAGGCCTTAGAATTTGTCATTCTGAGAAAAAACTGCCTCATATAGTTGTGAAGTTCCTCTATAGAGCAGTATCTTCAAACAACTGAGCCTTGTTGAGTTTTTAGTGCTTGTTATTTTTGTTGGCCTGAGCCCAGGCCTTTTACTCCCCATGACAGCATTTTCTTCATTTGAGGTCAATCAAGCACCAGAGACTAAACAAGGACTATAGCAGGATTCGAGACTTGTCTAAACGCCACTAGTCTCTTTCAAACGCGTAATGTCTCATTTGGATAATGTTGCTTTGGTCTGGTAAATGAGCTGGTGTATAATAGAATTCCATGGAAATAGCATTCATAATGGTAGTCTATCATTCTTGTGTTAATAGAGTGTCACCGTCAATAGAAACCAAAATTGGAGTGAAAACGTCTCACATTCAGTCTGAATGTGTATATTTATACATTAATATGCATGACTCATTCTTGCCCAACAGTCTTACCGAGGGAGAGTTTAAGTCAGGTGGGGTCGACATGTCTCCAAACAAGTCCAGCTGTTCAACGCCCTGCAACAGAGTTGAAAAAAAAGTTGACACCAAACAGAGTCAGAGAAACCAAAACACCTAAGAGAAGAGCCATTCATACTGAGGGCAGATGAATGGGAGGAAATGAGCATTGAAGAATGAGGAGAATTGTGTTTTTTCCAAAGACTGTGAGTGAAAGGAGTGGTGGGAGAATGTCCAGAGCTGCTATGTGATGCATCTCAGTTATTTCCTGTCTGCTAACTTCATTAGCTTTCACCCCCCAAGGAGACTAGTTTAGGTGCAGTGTGCAAATGGTGAACAACAACATGAAGACAACCCAGCAGGGGGCTTTAGGAACTGGGCCAGAGAGACACAATTCTACTGGCATCTGGGAGCCTTCAGGTTGGAGGCCACTAACACAACTCTTTCACTGTTGTGAAACAATATCAGGACCATTTGGTGAATGTAAATCATACTCACTTTTCTGTCATTGTGTGAGCCTTCACTGCCATTCTGTTGAGGTAAGATTGACAGAAGTTAGAAGCAAAATATATAGTATGATAAAACATTTAGTTTAACAGTTGTTTATTTAATGTCTCTAACCTCTATCACTTTATTATTTTCATCCTGAAGAGAAAACAAGATCTGATTAGAAATAAAAATTTATCTAATTTGACAAAAAGAGCTATATCTATACACAAGAGTGATTGAGTAGTTTAGTTTGAGGTGATATACATACACTACCGTTCAAAAGTTTGGGGTTGGTAATTTTTTTTAAAATGTTTTTGAAAGAAGCTCACCAAGGTTGCATTTATTTGAACAAAAAAATAATTAATAATAATAATAATTAAAATGCCATTAAATCCTGTGATATCAAAGCTGAATTTTCATCAGTCATTACTCCAGTCTTCAGTGTTACATGATCCCTCAGAAAGTTCAAAAGAACAGCATTTATTTGAATAAGTAGTGTTTTGTTACATTATAAATGTTTTACTGTTACTTGAGATCAATTCACTGCATCCTTGCTGAATTAAAAAGTATTAATTTCTTTAAAACCCAACCCAAACTTTGAATGGTACAGTAATTTATTGCATTTTGAAAGAGTTACACTTGAAGTATGAGTATCAAAGTTGCTCACTGGCTCATACACAGTCTAGATACATCTAAAAATATTTTTGAGGGGTCTCACACCTTCTTTGAACCCTCAACTTCTTTTTTCTTCATATTGAAGATTAACTGGAAAAGATCCTTCAGGTCAATGACAAGAGGCTCTGCCTGAGTGGAAACACAAACAATGTGTTAAAAGGCATTTTTCCTGCAGGTTTATGAGTGAATGTTTGTGAGCAGGGGGGGATGTGTTTTTGTGGGAATGCCTTTAGAAAAACGCACTACTGGGAAATAAGTAACAGAGAAAGAGAGAACAAGTTTGTCTGTGTGTGCCTAAGGCATGAGTGTGTGAAGAAGGAAAGAGCTTTGCTCCATAAAATCTCACTGGACCTGCTGTGCTGTTTTAATGGCAAAGAACTGGTGCTGGCCCTCCGCACCGCACACGTAGCCAAACGCTCTGCTGTCAGTGACATCCCGTGCGATGAAGGAGATCTTATTTACTGCATGCTCCAGTATTTTTGCCTGGAGAAATCAAAACAAAGTAACAATGAATACTGTATATTGGGTATCAAATGGTAGAAGAGTTTATTCTAGTCAGTGTAAATAAAAGAGTGAGTGAGAGAGACAGACCCCTGTTTTCTCATCAGTAACAGTAATTCCTGCGAGGGAGATGTTCACCCAGACTCTCTGCTTGTGTTTGCCCGCAGAGCGAGCTGCCACTGCCTTGCCCTGGGATCGCAGAGAGAAAAGACAAATAAATGTTTACTGAGAATAAAAAAACAAATCGTTTTGACTTCTTACATGTAGTCAGTGTCCTGCTAAATAAATGTCTATCAAACCATTTGGACTGAATCAATTGTGTAGGAAACAGGGATATTTCTGTCTCTTAAAATATCATAAATATTGAATCAGAACAAACTAAAAACAGCCAAAATAATTACTTCACGCCAGTAATATTTATGTCAAAAATACTGGAAAACATTGTGTTGACTCAATTATTCTCTTTCTTGCAGAGATGTCTCTCCTCAAATCTAACAATCTAAGGGTATACAGTATTTCATTGACACAGTTTGCTCTCTGGAGATATTAAGGCACTATTTTCTATGAAGCTTTAACCCGTTTAATCCCAATTTTTTTCTTGCAACTTGAGTACATGCATTTTACTCCTTAGACCTCCCTAACACTCAAACATTATGCCTTTTTTGATTTTATGTTGGTTAAGTTAGTGAAATATTAGGTTTTATACTCGGTCACAATAGTGACCGGTGGGAAACAACATAGTCAGAATTCATTCAAATTCTTTGAAGGGGGTCTGGGACACTCATCACTACACTGAACAAAATTTTTCATGAGCTGAACTCAAAGATCTAAGACCTTTTCTATGTACACAAAAGGCCTATTTCTCTCAAATATTCTTCACAAATCTGTCTAAATCTGTGTTAGTGAGCACTTCTCTTTTGCCAAGATCATCTATCCCCCTCACAGGTGTGGCATGTTCAGTGTAGGATTGCCAAAACCTGCCAATACCAGCCAATACCTGTTTTCAATTGAAGCACTGTGTTATACTACCGGTCACAATTGTGACCGTAAACAAATTTACAAGTCTTGCGAGCAAAATATATATGCAGGAGTATAATTCTCAAAATATATCAGTAGTAGACCCTTTAAAGAATATATGTACAAAATATGATAGTTCTATATGTAAATTAAGATGTTTTATATACTACTTTTTGTAGTAGTCTGAGGAAGACAACTTCTTCTAGATGTGCAAGCAGGAAGTGAACTGATCTGGTCATGTGACCTTTCACACTAGTCACATGACATTAATTGATTTTAATCAAGACAATCTATTTTGTCATTTAAAAGTTGAATTTCTTGCCCAAAGTCAATAAAAACATTTTTAGAGCTTCCAGAAATAAGAAAAAAGCTGCGGTCACAATTGTGACCGGTGGGATTAAACGGAAACCTAGCTAACAAACATATGTTCTAAAACATTTTGCTACGGTATCTTTTAAGTTACAAAAACGTTATCTCTGAATGTTCTCTGAACATTTAAAACCTCCAGTTTGTTTGAAAAACTTTTTTTCTTGGTTATATGAATGGTAAGGGAACAATTAATTTTGTAATTCTGCAAACATAATGGGGACGTTACTTTTGAATGTTCTCAAATCATTTTGAAACAATTAGCAACAGTAAAAAAATGTTAGAAAAAAAACAAACTAAAAATTAAAAGTTCAGTGAACAATATATAGCTATATATTGTTTGTGCTAAATTTTTGAGAACATTTTAAAGACCACATAACTGTGAACAAACGTTATATTAACTTTACTGGAATAATGTTTGTTCATAACTTTGAGATGACATTACCAGAACTTTAGCCAAAGTTCTGAGAATGTTCCTTGTTATCTGGAAAACAACATGCATTGTGAAAAGTCAATACAAATAAATCCATATTGTCCTAAATCTATCTTGTCCTATGTCTCCGCCATTAGTTTAGGCTACTAGAAGTCACTTAAGATATACTGTACTAAAAAAACAAACATGCTTGACCTTTCACTGACCTTCAGTTTTATCATGGAGTCTTGGCTCATTTTATCTCCTCTTGCTTCAGGGACATCATCTACACCAATCAACTTGGCTTTGTAGCGAACTCCATTACCTTTGAACCTGGCAAGGAGTAACTCATCTGTTTTCTCTGGGCTCGCTGCAGCTGAAAAAAGCAGATAAAAAGAGAGATTTGAATCTAAAACATAAAACAAAATATTGTGAGATTTAAACTTATTTAATTTAAAGTGTGTTGCAAAAGATAAATAATTGAATGCTTTATTATTAAATAGATTTGTAAAATAGATCGACTGCTGTGACGCAGATTCCCATGAACACTGCTGCAATTCCCTCAAACGCTTATGGGGAGATTGAGACAACATATAGAAAAATACTTTGTTTTTTATGGCTTTAGGCCAGTAATTACCAACCAGAGATTTAAAATAAAAATTGATATAAAAATAATAGGACTGAATAAAGTAAATAATCATAATTATCTTTTTTCAGTCGAGTTTTAGGAAATGAAAATATATGTGCAAATATTTTAGTACAAATATAGACTTCCAAATTTTGGGCACAGTTTAATAAATTAATACTTTTATTCAGAAAAGGTGCATTAAATTGATCAATTTCTAGATAAAATTCTATAAAATAAAGTTCTTTTGAACTTCATCAAACAATTCTGAGAAAATGCCATAGATTTCTTGGCTAGGTTTATCCTTTTGAAAAGAGCTGAAAAAGCAAGTTCTTCACTCATACATGAAACCACTAATTAAGTGTCCTTTCTGTAGTATAGGACGAGCCCCTGTCATTTAACCTTTTTAAAATACTGCTCCATATAATTAACTGATTACAGTTTACATCAGGCAAATGCGGCTCATCACAAATGCAGCTGTCATTCAAAACAAAAGCATTCTAAAATAGGAATGAATAGTGCAGTGCAGAATCATTTACGGAATCCTTTATTCTTAGAGGAATGAGAAACGATTCAGAGACATAATTACGGCTGTCGCTAGGATTGATGCCATTCGGAAGGAACTGATGGTACCAGCTGTCTGAGATACAGAGTTATCTCAAGCAGAATTTCAGCTCTGAATCTCAGTCTGAATGCTACTCAATCACTGGAAATGTCAGCAAGTTACCCAAGTGCATATCAAAATATGGGCGATTACTCAATGGCACAAAAAGATCTGAAGGAGGCTGATTAAAATGAACACAAAGTACTTCAGTGAGCTGCTGATGTGTAATGTTTGCGTGTGTAGATTATCCACCAGAGCGAGAGAGAGAACGAACGATCAAGTATCTTTTAATAAACAGTATTCATATAACACTACACATAGGAACACAACGTTAACACAAGACAAGGCATTGAGGAGATCTAAGGGCTTAAAAACAAAAGGAGGCCAATCAACAGAACTAGACAGGTGCATAACATAATGGAAACAAACAAGGATCAGGAACACAGGCAAACAAGAACAGAACAGAAACAAAACAAAACTAAACATGCATCTTCCCTCTCGGAAGGTGCGTCCTCGCACTCTAAAGTTTAACAGAGGAGGGAGGGTGGCTCTGGGGGAGGACGGGGAGTCTGAGACAGGCGACAGCCAGCAGATGGATACATCACGGTGGAAATGACGGAGGTAAAAGCCAGGAAAGAGTCAGAGATCCGACCACCAGCGGTGGAGCCAGGAGAGTTGGAGATCCAGGCGGAGTCAAGGAGACACAGAGACCGGGTGACACTGTAGGTCCTTGAGCCGTGGTGACGAGTGGCAAAGGTGAAGCCAGAGTACTGGATGACTGAGTCGGAGCCGGTTGGACTGATGACCAAGGTGGAGCCAGAGGGAGGGCGGAGGCCGAGGTGCAGCTGAATTCCTCGAAGTCCGTGGCGTAGGCAGAGCGATGACTGACCAAGGTGGAGCCAGAGGGATGAGGGAGCCCGGTGGAGCCATAAGGACCACAGTCACAGGTGGAGTCGAGGGGGCGAGGAGCCAAGGTGGAGCCGACTGTTCAACCAAGGCAGAGCTGGGGGATCCATTTGCCAAGGCGGAACTGGAGACTGGAAGACCCGAGGCAGATCCGGAGTGGAGTAAACAGAGGAAGAGCCAAGGAACTGAAGGGAACCAGTCGAGATGGGGTCGAAGGACTGGCTATCTTTGGTAGAGGAGGTGGGAGAGGGAGGCTGGGTGGGATCGTTGGAAACGCAGGAGACTTGGAGCTGGAAGGGACTAGCAGAGATGCAGGAGGCCTCAAGTATGGGTGGGGCTCCAATCCATCCTCTCGTACTCCACAAGCACACCTACTGGGATGGGCGATGTTGCCGGCTCACGCACCTGGACAGACTTTCCATTGGGCTTGGGCTCTGGGGCAATGATTGGCTCAGGCGGCCACTCTGGCATCTGGCATCGCGGCAGCATCGCTCTGTCTCTGCGGTGGATGGAGTATGCTCCGTGCAGGGAGCGAGAGGTGGCTGGCTGGGCTCTGGGTCCGGAGTGGGGCTGGTGATGTCCTCCTCAACAGGGCAGACGGTGAATGCCGATCCGTTGTTCACCAGCACCCACTCTACAAACGCGGAAAATACACAGAGCAAGCGGTCTGGATAGTAGTGGTGGGGGAAAAAATCTATTCTGTTCAGTATTGCGATATTTTGTGCACGCAATTATATCGATACAGTAGCGCAAAGTATTGCAATATTTAATTATAAAATAATCTGTTTTACTTTCGGGTTTTCTCCATTGGTTTTCTCTGAGTTTACTCTGATCATTTAAATGTGCGTATTACATCCACAAGGTGACGCTTGTTGTGGTGCTTTGTTGTCGTGCATTCAACAGCAAATTCAAATGAAAATGGCTTCACCATCACAACCGGTTGTACGCGACACTCCGTCTTCTTTCAAATCGAAAGTGTGGCTCAATTTCGGTTTTCATCAAAAAGCGAATAATAAAGACCTTGACATTATTTATATGATTATTCTCAGGTTTATGTTACTCTATTATTTCTGCTTAATGCTACTCTATTGTATTTAAATAATTTAATAATAAATAAAATAATAAATAAAATAAAATACAATTTAATAATAAATAAAATAATTTAAATAATAAAGTGATGGGAGCTCACCATTCATGTGAGAGGTCTCCAATTCAGAGAATAATTACATCCTGTCCTGTAATAAGGTCCTGTGTCCTGAATGTTTTTGCGCTATTCTCCTAAGTTTTTGCACTTCAGTTAATGTGTAGAAGATAATGTTCACAGAATTAAATGTGACATTTGAAGTGAGTTGAGCAGTCTTTTACTCATTTTTTGTAATGCCTTTGAATAATATGGGGGACATGAATCGCAATATATCGCAGAATTGAATCGCAATACTTGCTGTATCGCAATATGTTAAGAATCGCAATAATATTGAATTGTGGCCCAAGTATCGCAATACTATTGAATCGTCACATTTTTGCCAATTCCCACCCCTACCGGATAGTAGGTGAGGCATACCAGATCTAAAAAGTCCCTTGTGTGGTCCTAAAGTGAGCGATCTCCCTGGAAACGCACAGCAGGTAAGTCCATAGTTGTATTTCACCGGGAAAAAAGGCTATTCTAGGTATTGTGTTCTGCAATGTTCGTGTGTGTAGATAATCCACCAGAGAGAGAGAGCGAACGATCAAGTAACTTTTAATAAACAGGAACCATATAACACTAGACAAAGGAACACAACGTTAATGCAAGCCAAAGAGGAGAACTAAAGGCTTAAATACAAGAGGCTGATCAACAGAACTTTAGACAGGTGTGTAATGTAATCAGAACAAACAGAAACAAACAAGCATTGAGAACACAGGCAAACAGGAACAGAACAGAACCAAATAAAAACACAATGAAACTCAACATATCTGTGACAATATGCTGATCATGGTGCTTTATTGGTTCCTCGCAGTGCATGTTTTTACATATCTGTCTGGCCATGTTTTAGTCTTAAAATTGTGTTGTTTTGGATATGTGCCACATTATTTGCTAGTTTGAGAGTTCATATATGTCCTCCTCCTCCCTTGGAAACAGCCAATCTCTTTTCTGTGTGAGCTCTTCATTGGGTCTTCTGTGGTATCTCACTATCCTTTATCTTTCTTCTTGACTTTTGGACATTTATTTTGTCTGCCTGCCCTGTGTCTCACTTCAAAACCAGAGCTCAGCTGACTATGTGTGGCGATGTCCCTTTTTGGCCAGTGGCGCTGCTGAGATGGCAGAGGCGGAGAAAGAGAGTGTGAATCAGACGCAGAGAAACAAAAAGAGACTGAGAGAGAACAGTCTGGCCGAGGCCCAGACCTCATGCCTTCTGTGGCCAAGCTGAGGGACAACATTGACATTCATCCCATGCAGGGACTCTACAGGCTTGAGGTTTCAGCTCTATAACCCCCTCCCAACGTGAACATATAATACCCATAAATATGAGTGCTTGGTTTAGTTACTGTTTTCATTAAATGGCATGTGTAGACCTAATTGGCTAAAATAAACAGAATATTCATAGACTGAGTTAGCCTATTTTTACAGCAAGATCTACAGGTCTGGCTGATATTTGAGTTTTTTTTTAAAAAATGTATTGGTTGAACATTTAATTGTGCATGTTCATTTTTAATCAGCAATCTAACATTTATATTACAGTGCCGCATCTAACTCTCACACATACGTGTGAGAGAGTCCTGCATACGTCACCAGAGAGAAGTCTGTCGTTTCACTGATGAATTATAACATTTTGATTAAACATTATGAGGTTGAAAAAAGTAAAACAATGAAACATGCACGGATGAATCGTTCGAAATAAGATAGGGTGATAGGGTGAATTTTAATTTCATGCTGACTTTATATGTAATATCTATCACATTTTTAAATATTTCCATTTTTTTCATCATACTGTACATTATAATGTTGTGATGCCTAAATTCACTTGTAGCATGTAAATGATTTTCTATAAGTTTTAAGCATTTTATTTATTTATTTATTTATTTAGATGAGATACAATTTTAATATTGGCCATAACATAAAATCAATTATCGGCTTACCACTATCGGCCAGAATCTTAATACAGGTGCATCCATATAGTTGTAAGTTTAAGCACCACAGTCATTTATAGGCTTACCTATAACTATTAAGGTCTTAATCAAGATGACAAGTGATTTTTGTTGGTCTGGGAGTAAAAACTCATGAGTGGGGTATGTGGAGAGTGAACAATTTGAAAAAATATTCCCTATTGCTCACAAATGAGCCTGATCATAAAGGTAAGCCAAATCACTTAAAAGCCAAAAACACATTCATCTATAAAAAAGTTAAAGATATGAAAGAAAAATGGGCCTATACATGAACTGCAATAACAATGTGGCTGAAAGATCAAATGTGATGTTGCACCAATATATTTTTGTTTCTATGTCCAACAACACATGACTATGAAACCTCCTTCAACCCCAGATGCACCTCATTGCCCAAATCACTGCTGGCTATTCCGCGTGAGACTGTGGGAATCATTTTGCTTGTTTTCATGCCTGTGGAAAAGGCTAATAAATAGTCATGTTGGAGAGTGTCTTGCCGTCGCAGCTGGAAGGTATTGTGGAAACAGCAACAGAACTGTAATGGAATCCATCACTAGTGTGCTCTGTTGGTATGAATGAGCTAGGCAAGACAAACAATACCACTGTGCACCAGGTTCCAGCTTAGAAAAATAAATCCAGAGAAATATTGGGTCAAAGAGGCCCCTGGAGCTCTGGACGGAGGATTTTAGGTTTCTGCAGGTGGCTGTTCGCCAACTTTGCACTGCGTTACACGACATGTCAAGGAACTTGATGAACTCAAACTGTCCTCTTGAGAGGAAACAGTGCCTTATTTTTTACCAGACATAACTTAATTTGTCAGATCTAATCACTGGGTCATATACATAATAACCAGTGGTGGAATGTAACGAAGTACAAATACTTCGCTACTTTACTTAAGTACATTTTTCACATATCTTTACTTTACTTAAAGTCCCCATGAATTCAAAATTGACCATAGGCCTACTTACTTTGTTTGCCTAAATTGATCGTTTTGTGGTGTACAATTCATCCATGCAAGACAATCCACAATTCGTAATCTTTAATCAAAATCTGAAATTGCCCCTCCCCTCTGCATTGGAGGACCTTCCCTGATGACGTAGGTTTGAGTGTCTGCTTAACATCCGTAACCACGCCCCTCCAACTGACAGTAGACAGGCTGAATGAAAACACCTACTTTTCTAGATCCAATCAGGTGCTAGTTGGAAAAAAAGCCACGCCCACAATTTTCCTCATTTAGTATTCCATTTCTCTCGGAAATACGTCACAACACTGGAGAAAAGTCGTTTGCAACTTCCGGTTCACGGGGACTTTAAGTAGAATCAATAGTGCATACTTATTACTTTTACTTCATTACATTTTGCAGCAATTATTATACTTTCTACTCCACTACATTTCTACAACGTTCTGTTACATTTTCTGATCAGTTTTCCCCTGCCAAAACGTCATCCTGACCGTCCGTTCGTCGCACCACGTTTGTCTCACGTTGTTGAATGAGTTAGGATGAACTGTTTTATTAATCATTAGACTATAGATGTAATGATTTGGTTGTGGTGGTAAGACAGCATTCAGCAGAGAGAGTGAGAATCCAAACGCAGTTTATTAACAAATATAATCCAAGGTCATAGTCCATCCATACCAGGCAGAGGGTCAAGCACTTGTAATCAGAGCAAACACAAATACAATCCACTGAGGCAGACGGGAACAAGAAATTCAAACCTCAGGAAAATATAAAGAAACCAGGAACTGCTCAAAATACTGAGTGTAAACCAAACCAGCAAACAAACAAACAAGACTTCATACTGAATGAAGGCAAAAGGCATTTAAATAGACAGGGTGATGATCAAATGAAACAAGACACAGCTGAAACAGATCAACTAATAATGAGCAAAGGATTCTGGGAAATGAAGTCCGGGAAAAACAGAGTCTAAGGTAAACGGTGAGGGACTACCATTTTACACCTGCAGCTGACAGATGTAACAATAGACATTAAGAGAATAAATTGTTATGCAAGTACTTTTACTTTTAATACTTAAAGTACATTTAAAATCAGGTACTTTTTACTTAAGTAGGGTTGTTATTGTGGTACTTCTACTTTCACTAAAGTAAATATGTTTCTGGTTATTTTTACTTAAGTACTGAGATTCAGTACTTCCTCCACCACTGATAATAACACAATCATAGCGCTACTACTGGGTCAGCTTTGCATTTAGGTCCCCCCCCCCCAAAAAAAAAGATTCAGACCAGGTTTAAATGGGGAATATCTGATCTAATATCTAAAATTTGCTGAAAATGTGCTAATAGTATAATACATATAGAAAACAGGTTGCTTGTATATTGTATTACCAGCTTTTGAAACTTTTACAGTTGCAATTAGGTTGCAAACAAGCACAATGTATCTCTATAGACAAAAGAAAAGTAGGGGAGAAAGGGAAAATGTAATATATTCAAATAAATAAATAAGTTGCACATCTGTAAATGTCCCTAGATGCAGATTTAAAAAAATCTAAATGTATTACAATATTAAAAAGCCAGAAGGCTTAAAGTAATATCCTATGAAACTAACAAAAGCCCACCCATGCCTAACATTCCACAACACAGATTAATGACTGAAACCTTCCAAGGAAAGCACACATTTACTGATAAACTGATGAATTTAGGTTAAGACATAACTATTAAATCATTTGTGTCTGATTCCAACTGTACAGTCCGAGAACAATATGGCAAACCCTTTGGATTCCAGACTGAAGCATAAATCATGGATGTAATCTCAAAATGTTTTTTTGAGAACGCATAACTTCATGTAAATTCTGAGATCAAATCTCTAAACAAACTGCCTTTTCATCTGGGGAGGTGGCAAGAACAATAGAAGTTTCAAAACTCTTATGAGGGTTTAGTTTTACCTCAGAATAGGTTCATTACATGTTTGTAATGGATCAAGCTTGGTTTTTGTAGGTGCTCTGGAGATGTGGACGCTAGGAGCAACTCACACTCACATTACACACAGCTAAAGATCTCAGTGGGATACTCACTATACCACTAATGATGTGCCAGTAGACACAAGTAGGTCAGCAAAGACGTTTGTACTTTCTTTAACACTAGGACTCCCGGAATTCTATAACTACTATAATGGCCATACATAGCAGTCATTCTGACTGCTCATACATTATTTGCATATAATTTCAATAAGCTATATCAAATCTAAGAATAAATGGATCTGTAATGTTAGGATAGGTAATAATAAACATCAGAACACTACATTTTAATTATGATGTATGTAAAAATGTATTAGTTAACCAACAACCACTCAGCCTCATCAAGGCTCTGAAGCATGGCTAAAGCCTCTGGCAGTCATTCTTCTTGCTGGCATTGTTCTGATATTCTCTTTTCAATATTTCAATTTGGTTTTAGCTCGAAGCTAAAGCTAGATTTCAGATTTGCAATAGACTAAACAAACAACAAGAGAAATTGTTGCTAGTCAACGGTGATGCATCTTCAAGAGCGGGAAAAAGGAGCAACCGACACACGGTCTGTAATGCATACGGTCAGTATGACTGCTATGGCCATTCAAGGTAGAAATACTCAAAACTCTTTTGTTTCTTGCGATTTTAATAAAATAACAATGATAGAATAAAATATAGGCACATTTAGGAAAAGTAAGGGTCCTATAGTTACATGGGTTTTATTTCGACTAAGTTATTACATTGCAAATTTTTAAAGCAGTCAAAATTACTGCCTTTGGTAGTTCTAGGTAGAAATACTCAAAACTCTTTTGTGTCTTGTAATTTTAATAAAATAACACTGATAGAATAAAATATAGACACATTTAGGAAAAGTCATGGTCCTATAGTTACATGGGTTTTATTTAAACAAAGTTATTACATTGCAAAATTTTAAAACAGTCAAAATGACTGTCTTGGGAGTTCTAGTGTTAAACAATCCATTGCATGTCATTGGCAAAGCTGTGCTTGAAAAAATGAGTCTAAAAGTATTTAAACCACTTGAATCACCCAAGGTCTGGCCTGTATACTATAAAAAACAAGATATTGACGTGTGAAAAGTGTCACTGTCACATACCCTTCTTCTTTTCTTTTTTGGAGGGTGTCTTAAAAGGTGCCTGCTCGACGGGGGGTGTGCTGGTTTCCACTTCTGCAGACATGTTTGAAAGCCAGCCTTGTGCAAAACAAATGTGAAGACAGGATCAGTTGAAGCCCTCTTGCTCTCCTCTCTGCAGTGTGTGCACCACAGCTTGACTCAGCAGTGGACCATGATCAACAGTGCCTGCACTGGATAGGAAGGAGACAGAGAGAGAAAGCAAAACAGGAAACAGATTTAGTAGAGGTTCACAAATTTACAAATCAAAGGAAAATGCAGTCATTGTAGCGCTATTTAGCAGATTTGTGTGTAGGCAACAGGGCTCCAGACAATAATACAGTATATTAGTGCTATCAAAACGATTAATCGTATCTAACATATACGTTTGTGTTTATATAATATATGTAACTATATACAGTATGTATATATATATATAAACAAACTTTTATGTTAGATGCAATTGATCACAATTAATCGATATGACAGCACATGAAGCATTTAGGAGCAAATTTGTCACAGTTCTGTCACCCTTGTCTGGGTTTTCTCTTGGTTTAGTGACAGAGCTGTGAAACTCCCGGTTTGTCATGTGTTTGTGTTTAGTCTGGTCTGTTGTGAGCACATGGCTGTCATGTTATTTCCTTGTGCCATGTGCTCTCCTGTCAATTGTCAAACCCCGCCCATCTTGTTATCTCGTTATTGTTTAATTTTCCCCACCTGCCTGCCTCGTTACCTTATGTTTGTTCCCCTATTTAATCTCCCTTGCTGCGTCCCAATTCGCCTACTTATACTACGCCCTAAAAGTATGTACTCTTTTTGTGAAGAAAAAGTACATACTTTTGAGTGTGTAGCAAAAGAGTAGGCAAGCTTTGGGACATACTGCTTCGTCATCTTTAACGGACAGATCTGTCGCGTGCATCCTGTCACCGTAAACTGCCCTGTCAATCATCTCGTCACAGTTAAAATCCTCCATTCAATCTAATATAACTTCTTACCATTTCGGAGAGAATTGTTGTCGCACGTTCATCTGCCAGTCGTGGGTCTTTCATGCCGAGACTCTCCTCATGTGTTTGGAATTTGAATATAATAATGCATTTAAAAGTGAATGGCTAAACGTCTCTTTGCAGAAGTTCACAATGCTGTTGCAGATGCAATATAATGTGGAAAACATTGAATAAATACATTTTCGTCAGGTTAGATACTGACAATTAATCACTCAAACCCCTTTGTCTAAACCTCTCTACATAACCGTCGGACTCGCTCGTCATCCATGTCTGTAGTTTTTTAACACTTTTCACTTGTGTTTGTAGTTCTAACCGAATCCTCGTCCAGCGCGCGATGGGTTGTGGGCAATATCAGCCGTTAGGGCCGTTACATAGTCAACGCGAGCAACGCGAGCAAGCAACGCGAGCGACGCGAGCTACGCGCTCCTTTTCATAGTACACAAGCGTCACCGGCGATGCGTGAAATGCAATACACCGATCGCGCAGCAGGGGGTAGTAGAGTCTAGAGTCGGGTCACGTAATATTCAGATCAAAATGGCAACTGAAGCGGAGTGCATATTGCTGATTTTACATCGGCGGCAACAAAGGATGTATACGAACAAGCTCGCATAACTTTTCCTCTTCGCCCGCCATTGTATTCAAATCTTCTTCTTCTGTAAACATAATAATATACCTTTTTATGTACATTACTTGCAATGTCGCCCCCACCGACAACGCATAGTATTGCGTGCATCGGCGCGTCGCGTATCAAAAACTAGGATGACACATTTGGCTACGCATCGACGCATAATGGCGGCCGAAGCGTAGCGATGTGTAGCCTTGCGCACGCGTATGCGTATCGATGCGTTGACTATGTAAGGGCCCTTAGAGTGCGCAGCGATCTGCACTTCGGATTCTGACCGGATATAGTAGACCATCCGGGTCTCTTTGGGACACTCATTTCAACATAACGTTACTATGATTTGGGACGTACTAATTCTATTTTCGAATACTATTTAGGACGGATAGTATGCGAATTGGGACGCAGCACCTGTGTTTGCAGTCCTGTGCTGGTTCGTTGTCCATGTTTCCCTCGTGTTTTCTGTGCCTGCCTGAGTTATCTCTTGTTTTTCCCCCACGGGGTTGCTTTGTTTGTAGTTTTGTTTTGTTTACTTAATAAATATCATGACCCGCACTTGTATCCACGCTTCATGTTTTACCCATTCCGTGACAAAATTACTTTTTAGTTATTACATGACAATGATTATGTCCTGATGACATTTGTGTCATAGCCTATATATATCACTGTTTTGTGTATTGTGTTTCCAAAATGTCACTCCAACAAAGTTTAACTTAAAGTCAAGTCAACCTTACATTTGGACCACATATATTAAACATTAATAAAAAAAATCAATACTTTTTGTAAAATATTTCCGTTTCTTGTTAAACATTATCCCTCCAATTTATTTAAACAAAACTCTGTTGTGAGCATGTATCTTCTTAACTTCCACATTGTCATATGAACAATTACCTAGTCAATAAACTAATGTGAGTCTCATGGACCTAAAGTACACATCACAGTAACGATTCCAAGTTCATTTTGAATTGTACATAACTGAAAAATGACTTGAGGTTTAGTAAGAGAGTCATGCAGTTGTGAACTCATTAATGGCTTAGAATGATTCATGGAGTCTGATTCAAGCCTCTAATTCTTTAGCGAGCTTGAGTCGTGAACCTTTTTGGCTGACTTATTAAAAAACACTGGTACATGCTCTAACTGTGATATCTGATGAAACCGCATATGGACACACATATTAGTCGCAGTCCGGAGTGCTGAGACAAGCATTCTAGCATGTCAGATGTTGGTGAACATTGTTTAGCGCAAGGTGATCGCTTGCTCTCTAACGCTACCTTTTTTAATAACGTGCTAACCAGTTTTATCTCAGTAAACTGAAGTCCACATGGAAAACAAAGTGGCTGTGCTAAAACAGAAGTTGAATAAACATCCTGAACTTTGGAGCATTTTGCTGTAGTGACATTGTTCAGCCATAAATACTCTCCACTCGCTGCCTTTAACAACCCACGTGACATTCATGTTTTGAGTTAATACAGATAACTGGCTCAGACTTATCTGAGATGATAGGTCACCGAGACATTTTTGCTTTCTCGAACCTGTCCTTTCTTGGTATATCTATTACAGGACCACAGTACCCTTAGCTTCTATCTCCCGCTGTCTCTGCATTGCAATTATCCCGCCCTGCACCCAAAGACAGGAAGTCACAGCTTCCCTTCCATCTGGGATCTATTCATTCTCCACCTTCTTCATACCACAGACAGGCTATTTTTGTACATTTGTTTTCAATCAAAAAAAATATATATTCGAAGTCACTCTTACATGAAAATATTTGGGATGTTTTTAACGCTCATCAGTTCACCGACTCGAGCTGCCTATAAATACATACACTTTCCGTGAAATAGCCTTCCTGTACATTCAATACAATGTTGCAATTATGTTACGTAATTGCAAAACAACTTAGAAGGTTATTATTAATTATTATTATAAAACAAAAGAAAAACACTATTAAAAACATGTTTGCTAATTAAAATAAATAAATATAAATATTAGATTGAAAACTTGAAAATTAGAAATGTTGCTTTGGTAAATAACTGAAATGAGATTAAGTTGAAGCACTAAAATTACTAACTGGAATTAAAATGAAGTAAAACTAAACCTGAAATAAAAAAAAAATAATTAAACTAGATTTAAAATATTAATAAAGAAGACTATAATAATATTTAAATAATAATAAAATAAAACTTTTTGGAAGCAGTCATTCATGAATCAAAAACCAAGAAAATTCACAGGTTTTGAAATACCGGTACGCTATACTATTTTTCCTGTAGTCAAAGTTGTTTTCTAGTCCAACTCAAAATGGTATGCTTTTGTGTCTCACCAGACATAAATAGTTCTTAACCCATAATCAGCTTCACCTCTCACACTGGCGACCCACACGTGACCCCAGACTTCTGCTGGTCATCTATAGCTAGTGAGCCGATTCTATTATAAGAGCAAAGAGTACCAGCTGCCCTTCCCTGAATGACAGCTGTTGGCAACTCACGGTAGACAGAGCAACCTTGGCACAAAATATCCACAAATACAGTGTCCTTTATAGACATGTGACTTCCCTTCCAGGCAAAAAGGAAGGATGGAACCAGAGGAAGAATGTGTCATCCTGGTGAGGTATTAAGATGTTCTAGTCAGGAGTAAAGTCTTGGTATCTATCTCTGACATGCTGATCCTAAGTCTACACCAAGGAAGAAAACATATGTATACATCTACCACACTGTCAGCGAGCACATCTAAATAATATTTTAGATTCCAGACTGTGTGAATAGCTCACATACACATTTACTGTATGTCTATAGACGTTTATGTAGTTTCAAAGATACATACGGTATATTACAAGTACAAATAAGAAGATAGATATCTTAAAAATGCCACTATCTTATACCATTATCATTTTACGAGCACTATATTCCTGGAAGGATTTCTAAACCATTCAATAGTGAATTCATTTAGGTGTTCAAAGGTGAACAGTTACAGAAACTTTTGAGATTCTGACATGGTGTATCCTACAAAACAACAAGAGAGGGTTCATTGTAGTAAACACAGTTATGACTCTTAAATCTGGCTGGATGAACTGCATTTAAAGCGGCTGTGGTATGACTATAAATGCACACTGCAGATTCCATATAAGTAGCAAGTGGCTACATTGCGGTAATAGCAAACAGCTAACAGTTCGGCCAGATAACTTCACTAACATTCAAAGTTTGGGGTCAGTAAGTTGCTTTTGAAAGAAGTCATCAAGGCTGCATTTAGTTGTTTAAAAACACAGTAAAAGCAATATTGTGGAAAATGTTTACAATTTGTATTTAATTCCTGTAATGGTAAAGCTGAATTTTTAGCATCATTACTCCAGTCTTCAGTGTCACATGATCCTTCAGAAATCATTCAAATATGCGGATTTGCTGCTCAAGAAACATTTCTTATTATTGTAATCAATGTTGAAAACAGTTTTGTGGAAACTGTGATACTTTTTTGTTCATTTATTTGAAAAAGAAATCTTATATGTAAAAAGACTTTACAGTCACTTTTAATCAATTTAATGCATTCTTGCTAAATTAAAGTATTAATTCCTTAAAAAAAAATC